CTAAGAAATGACAAAAGAAAACCTGCTTTACATGAGTGCCGTGCATTAATTAGGTATTACGAACGAGAAGAGAGAAATTTATTACAGCCAGATCGAAACGAATTTAAAGAATTAGCTTGCCTCAACTCAACAGGAAGGCTGTTCCATGTTACTGCACCACTATAACTAAAGGAGTTTCTTAGGTAGTTAGTACGAGGAAAAGGAACAGCAAGTTTGCCAACAGTGTCCCTAAGAGAATAACCCGAAACACAACTGCGATCAACAAATTTTGAACGAAGATATTCAGGAGCCAAACCATTTATCGACTTATAGACCATAATAGCCTGATGAATTTGGCGCTGTGTTTCAAGGTTTTCCCATCCAAGGTCTTGAAGAAGACCATCAGCATTAGTATCATAGCCGGAAAATGTTAAAACCCTAGCCGAACGGTTTTGTAATTTCTGCATTTTAGTAGCAAGAGTTTTATTACAATCCCCCCACACAACACTGCAATAGTCAAAATGTGGTTGAATTAGTGAATGAAAAATAGTATGCAGAGTTGTACGAGGAACAAAAGGCCTGATGCGTTTTAGCGCACCAATGCCAGAGGCGATTTTTTTGGAAATGGCATAAACATGAACAGACCATGAGAGATGCTCATCAATGTGAAGGCCCAGAGACTTGGTTGATTTTACCTGTTTGATAGGAGCCCCTTCGATTGTAAGTACTGGAGCATTATCAAACGTATAAAGTCTCTGTCTCGAACCTATCACCATAAATTCAGTTTTGGACATGTTCAGTGTTAATTTATTAACAATAAGCCACTCACAAATACTCTCAAGATCATTAGTGAGATTAAGTTCGATTTTAGCGATATCATTATCCGCATATGTCAAGTGAGTATCGTCTGCAAACATACGAGGCTGTGAATGTGAGAGGCAATTCGGCAAATCATTTATATACAATAAAAATAATAACGGCCCTAGTATTGTACCTTGAGGAACACCACATGTTAATGCGCGGTTTTCGGATAGACACCCATCAGGAAAGCGTAAACTGTTAATTCCTGACCCGTGGCGCTAGTCCATTCAAACTGAATCAAATCGCTTTGTTCTCCGCGATGTTTTCCGGGTAGTATATGTCTAGAACTGAATCGAAATCTGCGCGTAAAAGTGCTTGTTCAGCAGCAATACAAAAGATGATCTCACTGGCCAGTCATCAAGAAATAGCACAGGTACTGCAGACAACGTGGATGTAAATACTGATTCTGATGATGTACCGAACTAACCGAAGTAAGCTCAACATCGACGGCTTCACACGTTTTCAAACCGTCGATGTTGAGCTTAATACTTTGATATAGTACATCATCAGAATCAGTATTTACATCCATACACGTTAATTGTTTGCAATTATCCTGTGCTATTTCCTGACGACTGGCCAGTGAGATCATCTTTTGTATCGCTGCTGAATAAGAAAAAATAGCCACGATCGATGTTCAAGATTATTGCCGGAAATCAACAAATACTACGGTTTTCCACTGACTTGGTATTGACCAATCAGGTGATCGTATTCACCGTTCAGAATCTGAACGGCGTGTAGTCATGAAAGACGGGCTTTCCTGCAGGCCCTTAATCCTCCCCCGGAGCCCGCCAAATTCTGCCCGCTGCAAATCAGGCCCCCCATAAATTTGAGGGCCTGCCACGCAGGCTATGCAGTGTATGATTGTGGATCGCTTCAGGAAACATATAGGGTTTTTATTGTAGGTGCAAGTACTTCTCAACGAACGGGACTCTTTGAAAAGTTCCCATGCAAGGCACCTTCCGGCGTCCAATTATATGATTATATGTACAGTTATATACTTATATACACATAGTATACATATACGCACGCTCACAGACAAAGCACACACAGAGACAGGTTACACACACAGACAGGTTACACACAGACGCTTAAATGCCATTTCCCAGTGCAATCGCTTCGCCCCGCACGCGCGATATTATCATGTGAAAAATTAGTTCTACTTTCATGGCGTGTCCGCGAGCATTCAGGCGAACAAAAATGAATGTCCTTTCCGCTCGCGCGGGCAAAGCGATTGCACTGGAAAATAGCCCCAAGGATGGTCTATTAAACACACATTTATTTTCGCTGTTCTCTGTGACAGGGACAGTCACGCACCGAGAACCAAGTACAGGGTAGGTCAACATCATATACAGAGCGTAGAAGTTCTAAATAGCTGCGTTTAAGAAAGTTTTTGAAAGAGATAGGGCTAGAGAATGTATCTGGATTGACATCTTGACATACATTGTTCCACGGTTTGACAATACGGTTGAAATAAGATGATTGAAACGTAGCAGTTCTACACATAGGAGTTTGAAGCATTACACCAGTAGCTTGGCTAAGTCGAGTACGTCCATGTTGAATAAAAGAGACGCAATTGTTAATGTTAAGATCGACGTAACCGTACAACGCCTTGGAGAAAAATACGAGATCTTTCATCTCTCTATCGTAAGAGAGTGGTAAGAGTTCCAATTTTAACAGCCGTTGCTTGTATGGCATTTCACAAGTCCCGGTCCTTAGAATCCATTTCGTGGCTCTTCTTTGTACTCTTTCAATCCTTTCACTGAGTTGTCTGTTGTGAGTAGGCGACCAAACTTGTGTTGCATAGCTGAGCTTCGACTTCACCAGCGAAAGGTACAGTGTACGTCGGATGTTGATGTCTGTGAGTGAGTAGCAAGTCCTCTTAAGCACGCCTAGCTGCCTATTCGCTTTCGATACCATTTCTTTGATATGTAAGTTCCACTGTAGTTTACTGGAGAAGATTACGCCAAGGTCTTTCTCGACAGCTCTGTCGACCCGAGGTGATAGGGAAAAGAAATTGGGGCCTTCTTGCGCGTCACCGACAATACTTTACACTTTGACCCGTTGAATTTAATGTTGTTATCCTGACTCCAAGTGTCAAGGTGTGTTAGTTTCTTGCAACTGGTTGCAGTCATTCACTGATGTTAATATGTTCTTGTAGAGCTTAGTGTCGTCTGCAAATAGTGCTGGAATTGCTTTGTTGTTGATGACATCAGGAGCATCGTTGATGAAAATAACGAACATCATTGGACCCAGGATACTACCTTGCGGCACTCCGGATGTAACTGGGGTCCATTGCGATGTAGCACCGTCCATTACGACTCTCTGACGACGATTGTTGAGGTAATCAGCAAACCAATTTAACAGCCTTCCTGTTACACCGTAGCATTTGAGTTTTTGAAGGAGAATGGAGTGATCTACGGAATCAAAGGCTTTCGCGAGGTCGAGGTACGCTATGTCAGTCTGTTCGTTCGTATCAAGTTTTCGTCCTATGGAATGAAGCACGGAGAGCAATTGTGTAACGCAGGAACGATTTCGTAGAAAACCGTGTTGATGTGTAGTGATGAGATAGGAGACATGTTCGTAGAATTGGGAATACACGAACGTTCCAAGACTTTGCTGACAATAGGAAGGGGAGAAATGGGACGATAGTTTTCTGCTGGTTCTTTCCGCTGCTTCTTGTGCAGTTGAGTGATGTTCGCTAATTTCCATTCTAATGGTATTCGACCACATTGCAGTGAATGGTTGAACAAGTCTAATCTACCAACCGACACAGGTGATCAGTGTATAAAGAACATCAATGGTTTGTGTTCTACAATCTTTGACAATATAGATTGGGACAATCTAGTTTTCACATGCATTCGGTTGTAATATACCATTTGCTGATACATATTTTCCACCCTCCCTCCCCCCACCCGTTTCAATGTTGGCGCCGCGCATCCAGACATCAGATTTTTGTTGGCCCAACATTGAACTGGGGGAACGGGGGGGCGCTATTCCTTTCAAAATATATGAAATTACAGCAGCTGTCCCATAGTTTCTGGCAAAGATTGAATCTTTGACAATATAGATTGGGACAATCTAGTTTTCACATGCATTCGGTTGTAATATACCATTTGCTGATACATATTTTCCACACTCCCTTCCCCCACCTGTTTCAATGTTGGCGCCGCGCATCCAGACATCAGATTTTTGTTGGCCCAACATTGAACTGGGGGAACGGGGGGCGCTATTCCTTTCAAAATATATGAAATTACAGCAGCTGTCCCATAGTTTCTGGCAAAGATTGTCTTGGTGGTGACCAATTGTGTTTGGAATTTGGTAATTAAACGTTTTAGTTTTAAGTTTATACCGCCCAATTCCATATATTCCAGTATCGAAGCATATGTGGGCAAGTTTTGGTAGTTTTAGATACTATCCATTCATTCCGGGGGGGGGGGGTTGTGTTATTTTTAACACTTTACATACCAATACAGGTACGTGTGCTACTAGCTATAATGCTTAATAAGCACATTCATATTCACGTCTAATATCATCATAGCTCTCTTCCTTGTGAAAAATCCGCGGAAATTTACTCAAAAGTTACTTGCTGTCATTGGAATGATGCAAAAGACCATAATTACGACGAACCTGGAACAGAACTATTCAGAAATAATCGGTTTGTGAGTGGGGTAGGTTTAAACTCATCTCACAACATATTAAACTGCGGGGAAAGACAAATAAATATGCATTGTTTTCGCCTTTTACAACCTTATACTTGAGAACTGTGGCCATTTCCAAGCTAAATTACGTTTACAGTATAAGATTTATAGCACAGTTCATAACGCAGCCAGTAGTCAAATTTCATACGTCTCATATTACACGATGCTCACTAACGAATCTCGGTCTAAAACGCTGATTTGTGTTACTATAAATTTTACTTATCTTACATTTTATATACATATGGGTACAAGAAACCATTTTCCTTAATTACAATCGGTTAACTTTGCAGATATCCCTTTTTAAATTCGTTTTTGAACGAAGCTCACTACAAATCTGTAAATAAATCTATATCTCATTGGCTATTTTATGACAGAAAGGTGAGAATCGTTGCTACAAAATCATTCGTATCTTAGTCAGTTCGTTACGAAAACTTGTAAAATGGTCCTATCTTGTAAAATATGCTGGATTTTAGATGCCTAGGGTGAATTTGTTTGATATTGTCTGCTATTCAGGCTTTTATGGCGTGTGAGCCCATCAAAATATGGTGAGATTCGTGGTGAGATTCGTTTCTATAAGGATCTCATTCTCACATATACGCGCTTAGTTTACTAACAAGTTGGCTCAGTTGTCAATTTTCTTTAAATAGAGTTCCAATACTGTTACCATGCATGGAATTCAATGAATTGTGACTAAAATATACCACTACAAGCCTTTACATCTGGTTTTAAATATACGCGATGAAATTCAGCCGGATTTTAGCTATTTCCTAACACACGCATACGCAAGCATTGTATAACACAGTACACGCAAATTATCTGTGTGCAACGAAATTGCTCAAGGACCTAAAAGGTGTGAAGAACTTATGAAAATTGACTGCGTACACAGCTTAATGATGTCTACAAGTCGAATTAAGTTAAATTTAAGAGTAATGGTATTACTTCAACAGACAATCTTTGACAATATAGATTGGGACAATCTAGTTTTCACATGCATTCGGTTGTAATATACCAATTGCTGATACATATTTTCCACCCTCCCTCCCCCCACCCGTTTCAATGTTGGCGCCGCGCATCCAGACATCAGATTTTTGTTGGCCCAACATTGAACTGGGGGAACGGGGGGCGCTATTCCTTTCAAAATATATGAAATTACAGCAGCTGTCCCATAGTTTCTGGCAAAGATTGTAGTATTAAAGAAAAGTTTCCTAAGGCTAAATTAGGTGTTTCAAGTATCATTTTGAGGAAAGATATTGAAGTATCGAGTAAAATGTATCAAGTAAATGAGGATCTAAAACGTTTATGTAATGAATCTGGCTTTTCTTTTATTGAAAATTCAATCATAGATGAATCTGGACTTAATAATAGTAAATTACATCTGAGCGCAAAAGGATCTGCTTTACTAGCTACAAGCTTTATTAAATTTTTAAACCCTGATAAACAATTAAATAAACAACCAGTAGGAAACCATGTATCTTCTGAAAATTTTCTCAGAGATCTGCTAAATCTGGCTGCCTTAACTCAGACATCTATGTCTCAAAGAAGACGAACTCGTTAAATGATAATTATCCCAATACTAATAGTAATGTATTGTATCCTCTAAGTATAATTGCTAAATCAAAAGGATTTCGAATCGCCAGTTTGAATGTAAATAGTCTTTTGAAACATATCGATGAGATTCGAGTGATTTTAGAAAAAAATCCGCTGGATGTCCTAGCTATAAATGAGTCTAAAATAGATGACTCTAATTCTGACAATGAGATCAAAATACCAGGATACGCTTTGTGCCGAAAGGATCGTAATAGAAATGGTGGGGGTGTCGTGTTGTATATCAGAGACTGCTTTTCATTTATAGAGCGGAAAGAACTGATTCCTAATCAGCTTGAGATGGTGTGCATTGAAATCTGCCGTAAATACGGTAAACCTTTCTTAATTAATTAGTGCTTGGTACAGGCCACCAAATTCAAACATAGATCTATTTGACAGTTTTGAAATGTTTATTAACAAATGTGAGATAGAAAGTAAAGAGCTACTTGTTCTGGGAGATCTAAATTGTGACTGGAATAAGACGCCGTTGGACAGTCATACGCAGACTAAAAAATATATGTGTGTTGTATCAACTTAGTCAAATTATTGATGAGCTAACGAGGGTGACTAAGTCTTCAGCAACTCAGATTGACCTAATTCTGGCCAATAATCCCGAAAGTATCCCCAATCATGGAGTAATTGAAATTGGGATTTCAGATCATAGTTTGATTTATGCTGTTAAAAAACTAGTTCCTTTAAAAGGACAGAGAACATGTAGTGAAGTTCGAAATTTTAAAAACTTTAATGAAAGGTTATTTTTGCACGATTTGTCTAGGATCCCCTGGGATTATGTCAATCAATTTAAAACCCGAATGATAGCTGGCAAGTACTTGATAGACACGCGCCAATTCTGAGAAAGTATATTAAAACTAAAAGAATCCCATGGCTAAATGCCTCTATTAAGCAACTAATGAGGCAAAGAGATTTTCATAAAATGATGTTTAAAAAAATCAATTCTGAGATGCATTGGGAAAAATTTAAAACCATTAGAAATAAAATTAATGCTGATATTAAAAATCTTAAAGCTAACTATTTCAATTCTAAAATATCTGAGTGTCTTCAGCATAAGAACGTAAAAAAAAGTTGGTCCTTGATTAATAACCTACTTGGGAAAAATTCAAAATCAACCATTATCAATAAAATTAGGACTGATAGTAATGTAATTCTTACAGATAGAAACCTGATTGCAAACAAATTAAATGATTATTTTGTTAATATTGGTCCCTCGCTTGCACTCGGGGTGGAAGAAAATCATCATACCTCTGCTGGTGTGACAAATCGTGGTGATTTAGAATGCAACACAACTTTTTGTTTTTGTGATATAAGTGTTCATCAAGTTCTAAACAACTTAAAACAACTAGTAAGATCCAAAGCTACTGGCGTAGACAAAATTCCAACTAAAGTTCTTAAATTATCTGCAGATATAATTGCGCCATCTTTGACAACAATCTTTAACCAATCACTACATACTGACATATTTGTCAATAACTGGAAATTAGCACGTGTGCAACCGATTTATAAATCTGGGGATCGAAGCAAATGTGAGAATTACCGTCCAATTTCTATTCTCCCAGTTGTAAGTAAAATCTTTGAAAAAGACATTTTTCAGCAACTATATAGTTATTTATCTGCAAACTCACTAATTTCAAAGTTTCAATCTGGATTTCGACCTAAACATTCATCTCTAACCTTACTTCTCCAGATGTGCGATGAATGGCTAAAAAATATGGATGAGGGTAAAATAACTGGTCTTGTTTCTCTGGATATCAAGAAAGCATTTGATTCAATTAATTAACCATCAAATTTTAATGTCAAAAATGAAAGACCAGTTTGGTATTCGTGAAAATGAATTGAATTGGTTTACCTCTTACTTGACTGATCGTCAGCAAGTTTGCTGTGTAAATGACCATATATCTTCTTGGAAATCCATAGAAAGTGGTGTGTCGCAGGGGTCCATTCTCGGTCCTTTGATGTTTTTATTATATATTAATGATTTGCCGCAATATTTAAAATTTACAACTCCGGGTTTATATGCTGATGATACGCAGATATTTGCCTCGTCTGATAATTATGATGAACTGGTGGAACTATTAAATTCTGATTTGAAAAATATTAGTAGATGGCTCTCGGATAACAAACTGCAACACCATACTACTAAAACTAAGCTAATGTTCATAGGCTCCCGGTACAATATCACAAATAAAATTGGAGATAAATTAGTGACCTTTAAGAATAAACCATTAAAACGGTACAGATCTTTTAAATGTTTAGGAGTTGAGTAGGATGAACACATTAGTTGGGAAGTTCACATTAATGCAAACTGTAAAAAGGTTGGTGCAGGGATAGGAGTTTTAAAACGAACAAAACCATTCGTCCCCAATGAAACCCTGCACATCATCTATAAGGCGTTAATTCTGCCATACTTTGATTATTGCTCCCCTTTGTGGGATAATTGCGGAATTGTAATAAAAGAAAAACTACAGAGATTCCAAAATAGAGCTGCAAGGGTGTTGGCGGGAGTAAGTTATGGTACCAACTCCTCTGAGCTCTTTGAACGGCTTAACTGGGAAAATCTTGAAAACAGATTTAGATTTAATAAAGTGCATGGTTCTAGTATACAACATTCTTAATAATGGTACTGCCCCCCTGTTTTCGAGAATTCTTTTCTGCACGAAGCAATAATGACAATGACTATCATCTCAGAAATTATGATACAGATCTCTCACTTCCAAAACCTGAGAACGAATTTCTTAAAAGAAGCTTTAGGTATAGTGGAGCTGTACTGTGAAATAGCGTTTCTGCTGAGACTAAGTCTGCTCATTCGATTTATTGTTTTAAAAGACTTATTTGAATCTTGTTCTTAATTGTTATTCCGTTTGTAACTACACATTATTTTCTGGGTAATATTCTTTTTGGGTCTGTGGGTTAATTAGTTTTTTCTTCATTTTTATAAACTTGTAAATAGCTAAATAGACGCCCCTTATGAAAACCAGTCGTGTAGCTGATGAGGATAGCGTCTCTAAAGAAATTAAATACATAAAAAAATACATACAACTGGTACATAGAGAACATAACACGTATTAGATTGAAAAATATACCAGATTACACTGTAGTTATAATTGATAAAAAATATATCAGAACATCGAAGCAATCCTTGGCCACCAAATTCTCCGTTTTATCTTTCATTGTATATAATAATATACTTAAATCACGATTTTTGTTATTTTAAAAAAACGAAACGAATAATTTATTTGGTTAAGTTTATGGGTAAAACCTGCTCTTATTTACTTATATGCAATAAGAAAATTACCTGAGTGTTTTCGATATGGTATCAAGAAATGGCGCGATTAAT